GGATTGCTGCTTCTGTACCAGCTTCCCTGCTATATGGCAGCTTCCCTACTTGGGCTCCTGGACCTCACCATGGGCTGGTGGTAGAGTTCTCCAGGCTTATAGTTCTGGGGAATTTCAACCTCCCATTCCTGAGAATGGGTTGGATATAGCTTGGCATTACATGGAAACTGTGACTTCCATGTGCCCATCCCAGATTATCTACAACCCAACTAGATAATCTTGGGGGTAGGAGGCACCGTACTACGGTGGTTCTCCTCCTTTCTCTCCGACCGGTCGCAGTCTGTGTTGACAGGGGGGCAGAGGTCGACCCCAAGGCCCCTCATATGTAGGGTGCCGCAGGGATTGGTCCTCTCGCCCCTTTTGTTCAACATTTATGTAAAGCCGCTGGGCGAGATCATCCGTGGTTTCAGGGTGAAGTACCATCAGTACGCTGACGACACCCAGCTGTACATCTCCACCGTGGACCACCCCAATGATGCTCTTGAAGTGATGTCCTGGTGCCTGGAGGCCGTACAGATCTGGATGGGGAGGAACAGGCTCAGGCTCAACCCCTCCAAGACTGAGTGGCTGTGGTTTCCGACATCCCAATATAGTCAGCTGGTGCCATCGCTGACTATTGGGGGCGAATCATTGGCCCCCATGGAAAGGGCTCGCAACTTGGGCGTCCTCCTGGATTCACGGCTGTCTTTAGAAGAGCACTTGACGGCCGTGACCAGGAGGATTTTTCATCAGGTTCGCCTGATCCGCCAGTTGCGTCCCTTTCTAGATCGGGACTCCCTACACACGGTCCCTCATGCCCTTGTCACCTCCCGCCTGGACTATTGCAATGCTCTCTACATGGGGCTCCCCTTGAGGAGCACCCGGAGGCTCCAACTAGTGCAGAGTGCGGCCATGCGGGTGGTTATGGGAGCAACGTGGAGCTCCCATGTAACACCTCTCCTGCGCGAGCTGCACTGGCTCCCGGTGGTCTTCCGGGTGCACTTCAAGGTTCTGGTTACCACCTTCAAAGCGCTCCATGGCTTAGGACCTGAGAGGGGCTCCTCCGGGTGCCGTCGGCCAAACAATGTCGACTGGCGGCCCCTAGGGGGAGAGCCTTCTCTGTGGGGGCACCTACGATCTGGAACGAGCTCCCCCCGGAGATACGGAGGATCCCGGATCTTCGCACCTTCTGCCGCGCGCTTAAAACGCTTTTATTTCATCAAGCTGGCCTGGCCTAAATCTTCTCCTTTTTAAATTTAAATTTTAAACACAAATTTTAATCTGTTTAATTATGGGGTATTTTAAAATTCAGCCAAATTATTTAATCCGTTTTAATCTATTTTAAATTTTGTATCTCTGTGTTTTATCTTCTGGCTGTTCACCGCCCTGAGTCCTTCGGGAGAAGGGTGGTATAGAAATTTAATAAATAAATAAATAAATAAACTAGGGTAGTGGTTACCCACCCAATTTGGTGTTTTTGTTAAAGCAGTGCCTATGTGACCTGGAATTCATTGATATGTCTTTGATATCCCTGTCATGTTCAGATCACAGTCTGGTGGCAATTAATTTCTCTAGAACTGTACCCCCTCTCCACAAGGAGGCAGGGCCTGTTAGCTTGGTCCATCCCCATTGACTAATGGACCCAGATGAGTTTCAGAAGGAACTGGGGTTGTACCTGCTTGGAATAGGAAGATTACTGAAGCTCTGCATAGACTTGAGCCCATGCGACATCTTCTAACCCGTAGACCTTTTTGTCCCCTGTAGTATACAGGGGAATTAAGAGGGATGAAACAAATTAAAAGACACCTAGAGCACTGCTGGAGGAAGACAAGGGACAAAATCTGTTATTAAGACCTTGTGGCGAGGTCGGGTGGCAAATACAAGTATTTCTGTGTACTAATTGTATCCACAGATAATCAGCCAGTGACCCCGTATAACGTGAGCCATCTCCTTCTGGGGAAGGAGGATACAGAGGTCTACCTGAGGGGGTTTGCCAAGGAATTTGATTTTCTAAAAGAGAAAATCACTCAGCTTCATTCCCAGTTAGATACCAGCATAGTTGCTGGTCTGATGGAAGCACCCAGGGCAGATTCTTATCCAGTTATCTGGAATACTTTGACCCTGCTACTCCTGAGGACATGGACAGGGTCCTAGGGAGCATGAGCTCAAGTACCTCTATTTTATTTCCATTAGAGAAGGGAACCCTTGGGTCAAAAGGAAAGGAATCAAAACTTTTCTATCACATTTACCTGATATATTGTTTGTTTTAAATATTTTGCAGAGTTAAGGCAGGCTGAAGTTCATTCACAAGCTCTGTCTTTTGCTAGATTTGATGTTCCACTAGTAGATATTAAAGCCATATCACAAACTTAGGTTTGAAAATGAATAACTACTCATTGTTTCAATAATAATGTTTAGTATTCAAACATATTAATTAAATTTGGGGAGATACATTTATATATGTATAAATCTCAAATGGTCTGGAAAATGTTAAACTCCAAATTAGATCATCTAGTCAGCATGACCTGTGTTGAAAAAAAAAGTAGGGAACCATAATTTAACAAAAGCTGGAAAACCTCATGTTATGTACTCTAGCTGAACTGTTTAAGAGGATTGAACTAGGACATAAGCAGTGCACAATACTTGCTTCCCAATCCAAATATTAAGCTGTTTTGTAACAGATACCATGAAGTCTTAAATAACTCTTATCTGAGACTATGGCTGATCAATCCACTATGCTAAGACTCAATAACTATGTTTTATTGACTATACCAAAAATTGGTTATGTCTACCGATAGCTAGACACGCTAGTACTTGGAGCACAAAGTGAGCAAGCAGCGAAGTCATTGTCTCCTCCATTCTGGTGAAATGAAATGTGGAAAAAAGGTGAAAATGATCCCTATTGGATATCAGTATAGACTACAATTTATAAATTGTATTTTTGTGGGTAAATAATGTTAATGCCTGTTACACAAAACAGTGATGTACTTTTTAGTGCTACTTTTCTGTGATACATAAATGGCAATATTTTCTCAGGGTTAATAACATTTGGCCCTACGGTAGTATGACTTTACATATTTCCTCTAAGGCATTCACACTAACTTGCTTAACAACATTCCTTTGAAAGAAATGAAAGTGTACTAAGAAATGAAAGTATACTAAGCATTGCTTGCATTTGAGCTATTGCAAAATATTTTACTTGTCCAAAGGTTTAAAAACCTGATTGCTAAGATTATGATTTTTCAGATACTGTATATGAATCTTCAGAATTACTAGGCCTTACTTCAATATCAATGTGCATAAAATTGCAAGTGCATGTTTGTAAAAATGAGTTTGGAAAATGAACCATCAAATGTAATAAAATCAGCATTTTTCCTTGTGTGTCTTTATGAATGCTTTCGTGCAAATACAGGGTTAAGATAGAATTTGTTATAGAAAATATATCAACACAGAGCTTAAAATATGAATTCCCAGAAAAATAAAAAGCAGTTCAGAAAAAAAGAATAGTTTATTGTCAGAAAATTTAATTTATGTGTATTGTAGATTATATTTACTCTACATAGTGTTCTATATAATATATATATTTCTATATAATTTCCTGAAACATGTTATCTACCTATTATTTTTGTTTTCATACTAGACAACCTGTGCCCAATTAAGTTGTTTCAGATATATTTCTTTTCCTAAACAAAACAGAATAATCATAGGTGGGCAAAAAAACCAGCGGGAGAGTAAGCAACTTCCCCTCCCTCCTCTTCTATATAACATATTACAAGAGATCCCTGGGTGAGATGATCTATCAATTTGCGGTGAGATATCATCAATATGCAGATGTCATCCAGTTTTATATCTTTCTTTAGTTCTGGATGGAATTGCATTATTCAAGACAGGCCAGAGCAGAATCTGTCTTCGTAGACTCATGGTTCCTACCTGAAGAACAGGTGGCAGCCATGGCGAAAAATCCTTTTGCACACCTCTAGTTGTTCCCATTCCTGGAATGGAAGGCCCTGCTCAACCTGAGTCATGCCTTTGTATTAGACTATTGCAACATGCACTATATGGCGCTACCTCTGAAGAGCATTCTGAAACTTCAACTGGTGCAGAATGCAGCTGCATGGATCGTAAATAGTGCTACCGTAGATATAAGACACTTGTAACATCCGTACTGTGTGAACTGCATTGGTTGCCAGCATGTTTTCAGGTGCAATTCTGGGTGCTGGTGTCACCTATATAGCTTGGAACTAGGTTATGTGAGGTACTGTAGAAAGTTAGCACTCACCCCTTTCCTAGAAGAATGGAATATTTTGAGCAATATTAAAAAAGGCAGAATATTATATTTCTCAACGGGAGAAATTGAGAAACATGTTTTCTCTTTTTCAAGACTCAGGGCAGTTTACAATGCGTTAAGCAATAATGGCCACTCATAGTTTCAATCCAAACTGTATAATGGAACACATGCAGTTTTGTATCTTTAGAATATAAAATATTTCAAATATCCACTAGAGACACTGGAAAAAAATGCGACTAAACTATTTCCCCCCTCACTTTAATAGTCAACCTTTAATTATTAACAAGGGTATTATGGTTTTTAAATGGTGTTTTTTTTAAAAAAAACAACAACACTTCGTTCGTTTCAAAATACAAGATCGTTAATTAACCCCCTTCAGGCAACTCTGGACTTTCTTGTCCACAGATAATAAAAAAAAAACCTCTGAATTATTCAGGTAGGAATGAGCGTTTAAGGAACACTTGATAGGGTTTTTTCCCCTAAACAGGGTGTGTCTATTTGGTGGTTTGCTTTATTATTCATACGGTTATAGTCACATATTCCAAAGCTTCTTCGGGGCTTCGTGATCTCTGGGTCGGTTCGTCATAGCAGGGACTACAGATCTTGCCTAAGGGATCCGAAGGCGCAATTCCGAGAAATACGCAACGGGCAGATTCTATTTCGATTCGACACACCAGAAACGTCAAAGTCGGAATGCCCAGATAGGCGGAGTCACTGCGGGCCTTTTACGCGCATTGAATCTGCGGAGAAGAGGCGGGCCAGGGGGAAGGAAGTGACTCGTATAGGCCTGTCTGTGAGACCTAATGGCGGTTGCGGGCTGGTGCAGGAACTAAACTCTGCGACGTCTTCCTGGGTAAGAGGCCTCTCCCGTCTCTTTCTTAAACCTGTGTTGATCGGAAGGTAGGCTGTAGAGGTTCAATGCTACAATGCGGGCTGCGTTGATAGCGTGTAGGTAATACGCAAGCGCTCCCACCGTAGTGGAGAGAAGCAGGGTGGAAGGGCGTGAATGTAAACACTCGGCCCGCGGAGGGGATTTAGATACGAAGATTAGGTATTCAGACATGAACAGACAGTACGCGTGTATGTAGCCTTGGGGTGGGGTGGGGGGATAGAAGGTCATGAGGTTGGAGGGGAAACTGGATCCCGAACCAAACTTGGGGAAAGGTGGGCGGGTGATCAGGGTAATCTGAATTGGTGAGCAATTACGTAAACTGCGTAACTTGGAAGTTTTGAAGCGGAGCGCTGGCTTGGAGAGGTTAAATTGGAGAAAGGTCACGTACAGTAGAAAGCAAAGGATTTGTAGATTTGCGGATTAATCAACATTAGGCCGCGTGGAGTGGCGAAAGGACTTCGGTAAGTAGACGCCCCTGCCTCTTCAGATTCCGATTCAGATTCCGTTCCTGAGAGTGAGACGGTTTGTATTTCGGCTGCATTGGGCAAGAATCGGCCAAATCCGATCGCCATTCCGTCTGGTTTAATCATAGCATAATTTATTTGTTTGGGCATTGTATTTATGCGACCATGGTTGAGTTTACTCACACGGGAGTGGGAGAAAGGGCAAAGTAGATTTATTAAGCGATTAAACTTGTTTGTAGCAACCAATGACAAAACTAGTGCAGAGTAATAATATCTTGACTGAACTTCAGCTTCGCTTTTCAAACCTGCTAATTGTATATAATACCCTAAAGACATAGGTTTTATTCTTCACCGCAGCCTGTTTTGGCAAGCAGCTGGTGGCAAAATCCACATAAACCTATAGTTGTAAACAACAGATAAAAGATAATCACACCAAACAAGAATCATGTGATTTGTAAATGATTATTGCATGGAAATCAATTATTTCTCATTGGAATCAGTTTCCATATAGTTATATAATGTAAAATATATCCAGTTTTTAAATTTTCAATGAGACTGGAATTTTTCTCTTTAGTATTGCAGTTTTCAGTGGAAAACAAAACTTGGTGTTATATTAGTATATTATTTTCTTTTTTTCTTATGTAAATGTGTTTTTATATGCTATATAGATCCCAGTAGGATTGAGCACTTGAATCATAAATAATTCCAAGTTCTAGTTACTGGAGTGATAGTAATCTATGGGAATCCATTGTTTCTGGATATAGAGTATATAAAAAGTATTTTCTATTGCTGATCATGCTGCATTTTTTGAAGGCCATGGCTGTAATAAACCATAAATCTTAATAGACAGGTAGAATTGTAATTTATGTACAGTTATATAGATAAGGACTTGCTAATCACCAAGTCTTGGTGAGTACAACCTATTAAAAACATTTATCAAGGAATATGCTCTTGAATTAATCATTTACTAGCCCTCTTGAATGACTTCTATTATTTTAGTTTATTGGTTTTATCCTTTTTTTTCTTGATATAGTTTCCAACAAAACGTTGATTACAATCCTTTATTATTTTCTAAAGTTACTTTGAGATTTCTGAGTACCAAAGGCGTTCTTTTATATGAAAATGTTAAAGGCTATTTCTACTTAATTTATTATGAGTAAAGAATATAAGATTAGAAGTTACATAAGGCAGAGTTTGGTGAAATATCAGAATTCTCCATAGATGACCACTTCAGTTATACTAAACATATTGTAATGGATTTTCTGAATATGGATGAATACAATTACAAATTCTGTTACTGAACAATAGACCAAAATACATAGTGTTAGAAACTTATTATCTCCTAATAAAATTTATGATGGTGATATTATATGAAAAAAATCAGAAAATCTATAACATTAGAAAAAGGAGCTGCTTAATTATATCTTTTATTTGCCTGATTAAAGGAAGATAGAATAATGCAAAGTACTGATGAATAAATGCAAGACAGCTAGTCATAGAGTTTAAGGGGAGAGATAAATAAGTAAATATTTAGAAATAAATTTTAAACTAACAACACAATAACAGCAACATAGAATATATAGTTTTAGAAATAACATTTCTCAATCTCCAGTGTTCAGATACTATGAACTCAAGCCATTTATAATTTATGATGCAATTCTAAATCTTATCTAGAAATAACTTCTTAATGTACTTATTTCTGAATTATAAGATTACATTGATAAACCTCTAAACCAGCATTTCATATTAGATCCTGAAATAGAAACATAGCCCTTATTTGAGGAATATTTCAATCCATTACAGTTTCTAATTTAATTTGCAACTTTTGCATGGTTGCCAAAGTCATCTTGAGGCAGAATGCCAAGATAGCGCTCTAAAGAATAAAAATACAGTACGTTTCCTGCTGAAGCCTATTGTTAGCGTCTTGTTCAAGTCTAAAGGTAATAGAAGAAGACCTTGCAAAATTAATTACATTGCAGAATTACTTTCAATTAGGCACTTACTTTAGAGAGTTATTTGAGGAGACGAAAGTGGTTGAAGCATATGAGAACATAGAAACAAAAATAGATACTGATTTTGTTAAATACTTTAAAGCGTTATAATAAAAGAGCCTCTTGAGAAAAGGAAAGTAAGAAACCTACTTAGTTTGTTTTTACTTTCATTAAGTTCTAATGAGTATTTTGGAACTTTGGAATGAATATTTTAAATATTATTCTGTTTTTATTATTATTATTAAACAGAATTGGAATGTAATTGGAACCTGCTCCATTAGAATATGTGAATTATTTTTTTCACTTCATATGCAAGACAAATAATTGTAATTAATGGACCAGAATGCAAAGTCAGTGGTTTAATGCTAAGGTTAATATGCAGAAATATAATCTAAGAGGCCAGTCATAATAGCAATAATCATTAAGAGAACAACATTGGTGAGATATTTTGATATTTTAATTTTTATATTATGTCCTTAAAATTATTTGTAGGGATATGTTCAATGCCATGAGTTAATTACAAAAATAATAAGGGTGAGTAGAAAACAAAGTTAAAAGATTAGCAACAATATATTTTAATTAAATTGAATGTTGTATCTATCAATATCGGTGGAGAGACCAATTTCTTATTTTATTGAGGCACTAGTTTATTCAACATGCATAAAAAGCGGAATGTCATTTTTAAACACATGTTGCCTTGTATCACATTGGAAAATATACTGCCAAGCAAGTTTTCAATTTAGCTGAATCTTCTTTCAGAAACACTGGCACTTGATATGCTGCATTGGTCTAATCCCAGGAACTATAATATCAGGAATAAGTAGATTAAAACCAGACTTTGAGTGCTTTTCAGTGCACTAGAACTGTTGCTGCTGGATAAATTTAGAAAGCAAGGCATCATAGTGTGAAATAATCTGAAAGACAAAAGAGTGATTTACTGAGAAGCTGGATTTGTAGAATACAAAGTATGGGGGAGAAACAGCAATAAGATATTTTCGTGGAAACATATATTTGAGTGGTTACAGTGGGTATGGATAAATTAGATATGTGGCAATATAAATGTGCATTCATGCTCATATTATGGGATTTACAGCAATTGGGTGTATTGCGGATATGTAAAGATCTGAATTTAATTTGGATTCCTGAATGCTCAGTCCATGGAGAAAGCACAGCTTGTTTAAGGAATGACTGGCATATGCTATGTCATGCCCATTTGCACCTTGTCTCTTTTGTTGTACAGATCTAATATTTAATAGTACTAATTGTTAGGATTTCTTTTACACGTAAAGTATGTTTAATATGGCTATTGCATAGTTTTTTTAAAAAAGGTTTGATTTAGTTCATATGTGGGATGTACCAAAAGCCTGGCTCAGACCAATTACAATATGTTTTATTTATGTATCCAGAGAAAATGCTACTGTGCAAAGCAATGTTTAAAGGTCATACATCAAATGAATAAGAAAGCATTTAGAAGAAAAATGGCAGCCAATCGGATAATTTATTGTAAATTTATATAATTGTCTATAGGAACTGCTTGTTGGTACATCCTTTATATTGGTGAATATGTTTTGGGTACAAGAAGCCTTAGGCTTGGGAGCTGAAGAAACATTATTGTAAGTTATGAATAGGTTGATGGATATGTGGATATGTGTTTCAGTGCCAACAGTTTAAAAGTACAAACTGTTTGCAGAGCTGAACAGTTGCAAATGGGACAAAGTAGTAAATATTATGCAATGTGTTAATGTGTTGTTGGTAATGTGGAAAGTTGATCCATGCAATTCTTCTGTGGTTTCTAAGATGTGTACTATACCTTAGAATGGCTTGGTGTGGTCTGGAGAAAAACATTACAGAACATTACAGAATTTCCCAAAATGTATATCTGGAAATAATGTGCACATACTTTTATTGGAAGTTATTAATGTCTCTTAAATAGCTGAGATACTAGTAACTCCAGTATTTCAAAAATGCAGGCAAGGATATTCTTACCATGAAAGTGTTGGTGCCAGAACAATAATACAATTGAAGCTATTTTGTCTGAGCTTTCCAGACATTATCAATAGAAGAGATTGCAATGGTATATTTGAAATTTCCTGAAATTTTGTAACTATTTTTGATAGTTAGGTGTCACATTAGAAATGAGGTAAAAGGTTTTCTGTCAATGTTTTTTATATAGCTCAAGTAAAAATCTTTAATTTATTAACTGATAATTACTTTAGATGCTATATATATATTCTATGTAACTGAAGTGATAAGTAATTATTTCATGCAATTTATGTTCCAGTCAAAAGACTCTGGGAACAATATGTAAAATAATATAAAATGATAAAAATATTAAAATTATGTGTCCCAGAAAATCAATTTCATAATAACATTCTTATTTTCCACTGTTGTATCTTCTCCTTACCACTGGTATTCAGAACATGTTGTCTCTGAACACAGTTCTCATAATATTCATAACTACTATCTATTGATAAATCTAGATTCCATAAATTTTTCATTTCCTCTTAAGCCTATTTAAATTACACAACCACATATTGTGATAGCTAGTTATGTCAACTATTTAATTGGTTCTTTTGAACACTTTAAAATTTATTTCAATGTTTACTATCTTGATTAAAAAGGGACCATTTTATAATTGTAACAAACCCACTGCCAAACTCAATAACAGTGACTGAATTCTTGACTTTATTTCATTGTTTGCTTTAGATTATTGTTTAACAAGTGTCTAGTGATAATGTTCAATGTCATTCTGTAAATGCTAACTTTGGGATTGAGTGCAGGAACATAATCACATACTTGTATTGATCATTCTGTCATGTTTGCTAGCACTTTTAAAGAATGATATGTTGCTTAAACTACACATTGATCCTTTCTCTGTACATTTTAAAATGTTTAATAATTTGATCCTTTATGAGCCGCAGTGGCGCTGTGATTAAAATGCAGTACTGCAGCTGTTGACTGCCGGCTGCTTGCAATTTGGCAGATTGAATCTCAGCAGGCTCAAGGTTGACTCAGCCTTCCATCCTTCTGAGGCGGGTAAAATGAGGACCCAGATTGTTGTGGGCAATATTCTGATTCTGTAAACCGCTAGAGAGGGCTATAAAGCACTGGGAAGTGTATATAAGTCTAAGTACTATTGCTTTATAGCAGGGGTGTCAGACTTGATTTCATTGAAGTCATGTCCGACCCATTGCAATCCCATGGACAACGTTCCTCCAGGCCTTCCTGTCCTCTACCATCCCCTGGAGTCCATTTAAGCTCATGCTGACTGCTTCAGTGATCCCATCCAGCCACCTCATTCTCTGTCGCCACCTTCTTGCCCTCAATCGTTCTTAGCATTAGGTTCTTCTCCAGTGAGTCCTTCTTTCTCATTAGGTGGCCAAAGTATTTGAGTTTCATCTTCAGGATCTGGCTTTCTAAAGAGCAGTCAGGGTTGATTTCCTCTAGGACTGACCGGTTTGATTGCCTTGCAGTCCAAGGGACTCGCAGGAGTCTTCTTCAGCACCACAGTTCAAAGGCCTCAATTCTTTGGTGCTCAGCCTTTCTTATGGTCCAACTATCATTGCCATACATTGCAACTGGGAAAACCATAGCCTTGACTATACACACTTTTGTTGGCAAGGTGGTATTTATTAGATTTTATTTAAACTTTATATGCCCCTATTCATATGCCACGGAACTTGGGAGTAAGGGGATTTGAAATGTGATACAGTATAATTGGAGCCACCCCTTACAGCAGGGGTGTCAAACTCAATTTCACTGAGGGCTGCATCAGGGTTGTGTTTGATCTCAGGGGGCTGGGGTGGTGTGGCCAGGGTGGGCATGGCCAGCTCAATATCACTTATATTGGGAGTGCCTATGGTGGCCCAAGCACTCTGCCAGCGAAAATGGCTTCCCGAGCTCCGTTTTTGGCTGCAACGGCCTCCTGCAACCCTCTGCCAGCAAAAATGGAGCTCAAGAGTGCTGCGTGCAGCCCTCCTGAGCTCTGTTTTCACTGGCAGAGACACCATGGACCAATCCTTTGCTGTTTCCAAGACAGCCCCGCAAGCCAGATCTAAGAACGCCATGGCCCGATATGGCCCCTGGCCCGTGAGTTTTTCACCCCTCCCTTATAGTCTCTTTTATGTACAACATATATAAAACTTTAATTTAGGACAAATAAACTGAAGCGAAAATTAAGAAGTGCAAAGGCAGAAATAAGCTTTTCTGCTTTATGCAGAACCAAGATAGGATTTCCTAAAAGACTTGTTTGTAAAGAATTCAGATAGAGAGATCTGGATGAATTCAGTTTTCCCCATGTTCTGATGCTTCACTAATTGGCATTCCTGTCACTATCAGTTCATTGTTGGTTTTCAGAGGTGTTTCCTTTACCGTTGCATCTCTTGCAGCAATTTTCATAACGAAGAGAGTAATAGAAGAGAGTGTTTTCTTTATGTACTCTGTATAATATATACTGCAGAGACAGTTTGGTGTAGTGGTCATGGTGTTGGCCTTGAAAAGAGGAGGCTATGAGCTGTATGCTGTTTTAGGCATGAAATCTGGCTGAGTAACTTTGCCCAGTCATACCCTATTAGCCTATCTCATTGGGTGATTGAGGGAAGGGTTCTTTGTTTGCTTGTTTGTTTGTTTGTTAGGCAGGGTTATTAGGAATGTTCAGCACCTGGAGTTTTTATAGATAGGATAAATAACAACATATTCAACATGTTAGCATGCTATGCATGTAATGCCAACAAATTAGCAAATATTATATAAAATGAGATATTCTATTTTTGACCTCCTGCCTGGAACTTAAAATTGAAGCAGGTATAATACTTCAATATTTTAAATCTTTTAATCTATATGTTGTCATCCAAATGTTAGTGCATCAATTAAACAGTTACATTTTTTTACAGAGCAATTATGTTATCTTTTCAAGAGGCTTCATCTTCAAACAGTACCCTCCAGACTTCAAATTTTGCACATGTTATCTTTCAAAATGTAGCAAAAAGTTACCTTCCTAATGTGTACCTTGAATGTCATTACACTCTGACACCCTATATACGTCCTCACCAAAAAGATTGGGTTGGTATTTTCAAGGTAAGCAGTCTCTGGAATATTTTAATATATAATGCTTTTTTTTAAAAAAAAGAATGACTGGGTAATGGTCAAGTGAAAATGAAAAATGCCTTTTATATTAAAATATTGATGTTTTGAGGGTAATTGTATTGGTTAAATTTTTATTTTTTTGAGGCCATGTTTCATTACATTTCATTTATTACTGGATAATCTACATATCAGCTGCCAAATCAATTTAATACACATAATGCAACTCCTGGCATATGATCCTAAGAGAGTTAATTTTATAAAACTGACCTCTCTCTCCTTGTTAATAGACACACATATACATATACAATTGTTTCTTGGGTCATTAGACAATAAGCGGGGGATTGTTTCATTTGTTCAGGAAAGAAAAAGATTTTATTTGCCTATGTCTCATTAAATTCTTTACTTTCTTATAATATAAACTATTATTATATTTTGTTGCCTCATCCAGCATCATCTGTATAGCTGTAACATTTTTAGGAGTATATTTTTCAAAAGTAATAAACCTTAAGGGCAAAGCCTTTTGTCCTAAAATCTCATGTCCAAGCATACTAGAATGAAGTTCCATATGATGGTAATATTGTCCCAAATTACTTTGAAAATCACTTTTAGAATTGTTGGTTTTTAATAAATCAAAACAAGACCTTATACATGATTTTAGTAAATATTATACATATGTTCCAGAACCTTCATTAAGGTTCTGATACCTTAATGGAATTTCAGTTTGCGGTCAAGTAGAATAAGATACAATGACTACATATGATTAATTTCATAAATTATTTTCAGTGTTACACACCACATTAAAGTTTATTGATTGATTGTTGATTGATTGATTCGATTTATATGCCGCCCTTCTCCGGAGATTCAGGGAGGCTTACAATGCGTTAAGCAATAGCCTTCATACTTTTGTATATACCTGCTTAGTAGGGCTTTTGGCCCCCCCTAAGCGGTGTTCTTTTTATACAAAGTCAGCTTATTGCCCCCACAATCCAGGTCCTCATTTTACCTACCTCGAAAGAATGGAAGGCTTGAGCCTGGTAAGATTTGAACTTGCAGTAATTGCAGGCAGCGGGTGTTACTTAACAGTACTTAACAGTACTTTAGTCTGCTGCGCCACCAAGGCTGTTCTTGTTCTATAAATTTTTCTTATATTCCCCAAGTTGTTTTAAACAAGCAAGTAGTGAATGGCTACAGCTATTAACTTTTGTTGGCTTTGCTTGGTAGCAGTAATAAATTACTTTGTTATGTCTAGAACATTCACTTCTATTTTCTTTTTTTCCCTTATATGTTTATTTGATGTATAGATATTTGTTAAACTATATAGAAAATTATAGTTGTCTATAAATCCATGGTTCTGTTACAATGTATTATCTTTTTAATGTTTTCTTTAGGTTGGCTGGAGTACTGCACGAGATTATTACACATTTCTTTGGTCACCTATGCCTGAAAATTATGTGGAAGGTTCAACAGTTAATTGTGTATTATCTTTCCAAGGTAAATATTTATAAGCAAACAGGCAAAGTGTCTTATTTAATATTTCAAAAATATTGTGGTTTTTCTATTATAAATAATTAAAACATACATTGTTTCTTAGGCTAATACTAAAATTACTTAGGGTTATATAACAGTTTAATTAGGTGCTTTGAATAACTGTTGAAAATAGAAAATTGGAATTGCACAACAACTGTAATTTGATCGTATTCTAATTAAGGCTAAATATAAGGACATATGAAGTATTCTTTATTGAAGCAGTTTTAAAAGGATTGTTTTGGAATAGAAAAACTTCCCCCACCCCCAAGGATTAGGATAAATAGGCAAAGCTCCTTAAATTAATTTCCACTGATAGAATCTATTCATATTTTGTATGAATCATCTGGAATGGAATTTTGGTTTGTAAATGATTCTATAATACATGTATCCTGTATATCTGTTCCAAATTAATAGGTTCTATGACAGGCATTGATCTGTTTGATTATAATATAAGCCTTCTAGGTAATTGTCAAGTTCAAACTTTATTTTTTGCACTTAAAGTCATTGGATGAAACATTTATTTTATTTTATTTTATTTTACTTTATTAGATTTATATATCGCCCTACTCCCGCAGGACTCAGGGCGGTGAACAGCCAGATAAAACACATAAATTACAAAATTTAAAAACAGTATAAAATCTGATTAAATAATTTGGCCCGTGACAATTTAAACAAGTGTTTTTAAGACAAATTTAAAATTCATCATTTGAATTAAAAAGGGAAAAGAAAAAGTTAGGCCAGACCAGCCTGTTGAAATAGGAAAGTCTTGAGATCCTATTCTGGATCTATTGAACTCTTTATTTTTATGTATTCAAATAAAGTTATATAAATGTGGATGAATACATTAGAACAAGCACAAGTTTCATTTTATTCAATTTTTTATCACTAGAGTTTGGCCTTCTGATCAGGACTGCTATGATTTTTTTTAAAAAATAATAGGTTCGTGGGTTGAAAAAGTTTGAAATCTCCTGAACTATAAAATTTATATTCCCAGGACTTACTTGCAGAAAATAAAAAATTATAGCTTTGGGTTCATAGGCTTATAGCCTTTGGGAGTTGCATATGACATGTGAGTCAATTGCAGAATTTTTGAAAGGATGCCTAAGTAAGGTAAATGGAAAACGTTGTAATGAAAATAAAATTTGAATGCATCCAGATGGTTTTAAACCTTATGTTAAAATTTCTTTTTAAATGAGTTGGTGTCTATCCTATGTACTCTCACCTTAACCTAGTTTAACCAATTTAAAATACACTAAGGCTAATCTTAACTTTAACTATTTGGAACATTAGTGGTTGTCTCTGCGATCTGACTGTGGATTTCTTGTCAGATGCTTTGTAATTCACACTCAGAAGGGACAAAGGAAAACCTGGTAGCAATCTTATTTTTGTAATAGTAGTACTTGTACCCTTATTTCGCTGTCATCTTTGAAATGTAATCAAATGTAATAAAATGGATAACAGGATGGGAAAATCAAGAGAATTCTTGATTATTACAAGAAAAGATGATGGAACAATATTAGAAGACGTTATATACTACCAAAAATTGGTGGGAGCTTGAAGACTTATTATTTATCATTTATTAGATTTAGCTATGCCTATATAACAGTTGGAATTCAAATAAAAAAATGCACATTGCAATAAATAGCAAGTAGAAAAATACTGATGTACTCACACATTGTTTTTATTGTATAATTAAAATAATTACTTTTATTTACAACGTGTGTGTGCGTGTGTGTGTTAGTTACACCTTTATTATTTTCTCATAAGACGGGAACATACCTACTATTTCCTCCTCCTATTTTTCTCACAACAACCCTGTGAGGTGAATTAGGCTGAGAGAGCATGATTGTCTTTCCTGACTAAGGCAGAATTAGAATTCCAACAGATTCCTGGTTTCTAATCGGGTGCTTTAACCACTAGACCAAATTGGTTTTATATTTAGGTAAAAACAAGTATGTGCTTTCAATTTTTCTTTTTATCAGGGTACTACCTCCCAAATGATGATGGAGAATTTTACCAGTTCTGTTATGTGACACATAAGGGAGAAATACGTGGTGCGAGCACCCCTTTCCAATTTCGAACATCGTCACCAGTTGAAGAATTGTTAACAATGGAAGATGAAGGAAATTCCGATATGTTGGTAGTGACTACAAAAGCTGGACTTCTTGAGGTGTGAATTAACAATTTTTAGAATATAGTTTACTATATTATACTAGTATCACATATCAGATATATGAAGAAAGTAGAAAATTATATGAAATGTAATTGAACCCAAATTGGTTTCAAGTAGAATGATTTGTATGAGATTTGGGCTATCTTCAGTGAAAAATGTAATTAAAAATTACCTAGCAAAATGTGTGAGTGATTGGTGCCATGCAGGATTGCAATATCTATATCTTCAGAAACAACTTTGCTCCTTACTACATTTTACATGGTTTTTAAAAAATAAAATACTAGTGTTCAGCTATCAACTATAAAATTTAGTTCATAAGCATCTGTGGCTTTGAATATGATGAGTTATGAAATAGTTCCTTGTTTTAGTCCACCTTACCTGTTGGCTGGGGGAAAAAATTGTAGACTTAATTTGCAAAATCTTACATTTTTGAAGCAAACACTTTTTGTTTTTAGTTCAAAATTGAAAAAATTCTGAAAGAAAAAGAAGAACTACTAAAAGTAACTGCATCACTTGAAAAAGAAACTCTGCAACTCAGAGATCAAGTTGAAAGACTAGAAAAAGAACTTGTGTATGAGAAAGAAAGATGTGATAAACTGGAAGCAGAACAAAAGGTTTGTTCTATAATTATATATATATATATATATATATATACATAGATGTTTAATTTGTAATTTTCCTTTAACAATCATGCATATTTTGTGGAGAGTGTATTGACTGGGTCAATATACTTTTCATATAATGCTAACAGTAATAATACAATTAAATATACATAATCCTTGTTTTCCAACTTCTAACCTTAACATTGTAATATAAGATTCCTTTATATATCAGTGTATATAATACTATTTTCTCAATTTGTAGTCCTCTCCCCCCCTCCCCAATTTGTTGGGGTTCTTCTACATTCACATCTTTGTCTTTAAACAATACCATTCTCTCTTTATGATTCTTAAAGAATCATAATCTTTATAATTTTCCAGTTTAAACCTTCCCAATTTCCAAATTTTAAAGTCTTATTTATCTTTTCTTCTTTTTTCTTTTCTTTTTTCTTCTATCACCTTTCTTCTTTCGCCTTGTAGAATGTTCTATCAAGTAGCATTAGGAATCCAAATCGGCCCACCAAATTTCATCAAATCTTTCAAATCCACCTTCCAGTGAATAGTTCCAGTAGAGTTTTAGTTATTTGCAATTGTTTGTCTTAAAAATCTTCAAGAAGCTCACTAGATATTTCCAAATATTCAAATCACCTACTGAAATAGAGTCAAAGTCAGGTGGCCTTCCAGGTGTTATTTACTTTCCCTCCTTTAAAGTTATCACTTTCACTTGTTTCCCACACTGCAATAATTGTTTTCCTTCAGTAGATGGCTCCCCTGCTCCAAATTCCAACATTAAACAGCATGTAAAAATCAAACAGCTGATAGTCAACAGATTACGGTGGTGAATAAGAGAAATAAGAAAAACAGTTTCTCCCAATAATTACTTTTCAAGATGTTGTTAAATCTTTTCCAGACTTTCTATGTTTTAAAGCTTTAGATATTTCATTCCATTAGATATTTCTTTCGCATCTGAGTTTTTAATCTTTCTCCTTTCAGGTGAACTGGTAGCAAAAAAAAAATATTTCAAGCAAACCGGTAGTAAAAAAAAAAAGCTACCAGTTCAGACGAACCGGTAGTTAGCTACTGTTTCAGTTGAGCCAATAGTTTAAAAAAGCTACTGATTCCTCCGAAACAGTATTTCTGACGATCAGCTGAGCCGCGCGGTTTAGCTTTGCTAGAAAGTAGGAAATCCTGCTTTCTAGCAAAGCTAAATCGCGTGACACAGCTGATACCCCCTTGCTGTTCTACTTACCTTCCCAAGCCTCCTTTTGGTGCGTACTGTGCATGCGCAGCAAGCATTTGGTGCGCATGCGCGGCCAGTGAACCAATAGCAAACTGGTTCAGATTTCACCACTGATCCAGTCGCTGCTTTCTGGACAATGCTCTATCCATGAACCACTCCAGCATAAATCTTATTGTTCCAGTTGTCACAGGTTGTGATTTGCCAAAATGGCCGTCGTCCCTGCTGCTGTTTGGGAGAGCTTTCTTTGGGTCAACGAGGAAATAGCAGTTTCCTTGTGATCGATGAAGCATCTCTCCTAAATTCACCATCCCTCCAGGGTGGCTTTGACCCATAGGATCTCCCAGCTAGCAGATACCATCTGGTTTACACAGAGCTCGGTGGAGATTGGCTATTTTTCAGCCATTCCCACCGCAACACCAACTGGTCTAGGTTTCTTCTACAATTGATAAAAGCATTTTTAAAAAGATTGAAGTTGAGTTGTCTTTCTGTCAAATCATATTAAAGGCTATCTTGTTATGCATAATCACCTAAAATATCAAGGACATAGTACATAAATGTAACTTTTATAGTTTTATAGTTGGCAATTTTTTTAGCAAGAATAAATAAAACATAAAGTAACTGTCTTTCATATAAAAAGTATATGTATATACTGAAACAGTTTTCATCAGGTTTTCCTAATGAAAGTCCTATGCTTATTTTTTAAAACGAGTTATGTAGCTTGCTATAGTAAACAAGTTATACTGTTTGATATACTGTGTTTTTCGGATTATAAAATGCTCCACATGATAAGACACACGTAGCTTTTGGGGAGGAAAACAAGAAAAATAATTGCCTCCGCTTCCCAGCAATTTGCCTCCTTGCTGCAAACAGCCTGGTCAGCTTTAGCATGAGCAGCTGATGGGCGGTTGGATCGGCCTCCTGGAATGCTGCCAATCAGCTGTTCCAGATCGCGGGGATCATCGCCGCCGTTGCTGCCTCCCACCTCCTGTTTTCGGCCTCCGTGCATCTTGTTTTCAGCCTCCGAGTTTCTCCTGTGCACTGCTAGGAGAGTCCAAGCATGGGTTAAATTCATCTGATTGGTCAGAGACTGAATTAGAAATTCTTTGGCCACCCCTCCTTCTCCCGGCTGAGCCTCAGTTTTTTTCAATTCAGTCTGGAAGAGAGACTTGTTCGAGTTGGCTCTGCAATTAAATTAAATTAAATTAATTAGGAGAAATTTGATATATAAAAATAAATAAATAAATAAAAAGAGCCTCTTTAAATTGTGGCTTGGGTGGCTAGACAGAGCATGGAGAGTGAGTCAGCGCTGCGAGCTCTGTGGGATAGCGATCGGATCGCTATTGAAGCGGCCATTGCCACGTGGCCAGAAAATTGCCAACGGAGGTGGCAGAGTCACAGGCGAGTATAATAGGCATTTGGGAGAACCGAGGCTTTGGTTTCTCCCCAGTTGGGTGCCAGCTGAGACCCGTGGCTTGAGAAGCGTGCTGATCGAAAGACTGATAGCCGCCATTTTGTGGGTGGCGGCCATTTTGTATGCAGTTTTACAGCAGCTAGAAAGTACAAACCAATCGGCCTGCCAGCAATTTGGAGCAAGTGGTCTTCATTAACGGGCCTGGACATCGCTGAAGAGCACTTTATATGCAAGTAAACCATGATGCCGGTTTTTAGGCGTGTTTGTGTGGTGATGGTGGCCGTGTTGCCGGTCTTGCGCCTGTTTTAGCACTGGAAGTGTCCTAATTATTACTGCTGCTGCTGCTCTTACTGTTTGCATTTTCACATGCAAACAAACCGTGTTGCCGGTTTGGCATGATTTCTAAAGGTTTGGACTGCGCAGTGAGTAATTGTCTAGACTTGTCTAGCATTCTTATCTCCACAGCTCAATTATATATTGTTTAGCTTAATACTTAATACAATAATGGCAAATACTAGTGATTCCGAGGGATCTTCCACCAGTCAGCATCAGGCTGAATGTTCTACAGCTAAGAAGCCTAGATTGCGTTCTAACAAAGCCTCTACTAGTGTGAGTTTTCCGTGGGCCGCCCATGAGGTCAATATTGAGGAAAGACTCGGACATGAGTTTTCTCGGGATGAGACGACCCAGATCTGACTCCGAGCCTCTTTTATTGTACACAAACAAAGGCAGGAGGGGTTTGTTAGCATAAGCCAATAATATATTACAGCATGTCTCATGTAATGCATACGTAAGTACAAGTAATACATGGAAGCAATGCCCATATTTGGGAAGATCTACAATCCTAGCTGCTAGTGAATTGTTCCAGTCCTTATCTATGAGTTGTTCCAGCCCTTATCTATGAGTTGTTGCAGCCCTTATCTAGTTTTTCGCATACGCGGTACAGCATGATTCTCTCATGCCTGCGCGTAACTCCTGAGCATGTTACAACATCTCCTACTTTTTCTTTTTAATTTTTTAAACACGATCATCTTCCTCATCAGAGAGGGCAGATAGCAACGCCTTTTGCTGTAGTATGTCGTCATCAGAAGGCGTTATTATAGCTACACATCTCATATTACATGCATGAAAAAGAAAAGTATCCATATAGGTTTCACATTCTACAATATTACAGTAAATCACGTGGATTTCAGGAAAGCAAAAGTTAAGGAAAAACGAAACTCAATTCTCCCAGCATCTTCTTCTTCTAGCTGAGAGGCCCACCTCTCTGTTATCAGAGATTACCTCAATCCTCAGGAATGTTATACAAGGAGATGTCTCTGCTATGCAAACACAGCCTATGTTCTACAATATTATGAACAAAGAAAGAACAAATAGGGCCCTTCAGAGATAATCTATCTGAACCTGCTTTTCATAGTCAGATTATTTCGGTGCTAAGCTCCATACACGTGTCCAACCAGCTAGACTGGTCTACACATATACCAAGGCCACCTGATTTGCAACAGGGTTCAGCTGTGTTGTTATTAAGATGTTCTCTTTACGTTTGGCAAATACGTTTGTCATCATAGCAAACAAAGCAGGAATACATTGGATACTACAACATACAGAAATAAGCAAAGCAATGATCATGAGTACAGTAGACAATATGTTCTTCAGCCATCCGGTTTCTGCAAATGTTTGTAGCTCACCCATCCTTTTATTACGGTGAACAAAGTTAGTGGAAAAGTGGCCAGGAGATGTCAAGCGAGGTAGGCCATCAAGTTTCTGAGTTGTTATACATTTCCACAAATCGCTCGCACAAATTGTAAATCCATCCGGATCCAGGCACCCAAGAAAACCACATGTCAGGAGTTTGTAACCTCTGAGTTATTCTGGAAGCCCTATCCTGTAAGTCCCGAGCACCTTCTCTGACCACACCTGATTTGTTCCTCCAGTTCCAGAAGGGCTTTGGTTTCACTTCTCAGGACGTCCTTCCTATTGGAGGGAATAAAACCTTTGCACATTTGCAGAAGGGAGGTGAGACATAGGATACAGCAACAAAGCAAAACAAGCAGTACAATTATAGATACAATAGTTGGCATAATTGATTTCAACCAAGAACCATCAGGGAGCCATGACCAAAGAGTAGCCCAGATGTCAATGGGCCAGATCCATCGGATGATAAGGGATTGTTTTTGATCAAGTTTTCCATATGTGTCTTCTGGGGATCCAAATGATGCGATCATTGTTCTGGACAGCAGTGTATCCACGGCCCCAGGTAATAAGGTCAGTGGGCCCTCTCCATGCAGGGTCAGGTAGTTGGCGGAAATAAACCTTCGGTTTTTGGGGTAGCTGATGGAGAAGCAGAAAAATGACGCGTCGCAG